TAGTCTATGATATCATATTGTTTCATGGGCTAATCTATGATATCATGTCATTTCATGTGGCTAGTCTGTAATATCATATTGTTTTCATGTGGCTAGTGTGTAATATCATATTGTTTTCATGTGGCTAGTGTGTAATATCATATTGTTTTCATGTGGCTAGTCTGTGATATCATATTGGTTTCATGTGGCTAGTCTGTGATATCATATTGGTTTCATGTGGCTAGTCTGTGATATCATTGTTTTCATGGGGCTAGTCTATGATATCATATTGGTTTCATGTGGCTAGTCTATGATATCATGTTGTTTTATGATATCACAGACTAGCCACATGAAAACAACATGATATCATAGATTAGCCACATGAAAACAATATGATATCATAGACTAGCCACATGAAAACAATATGATATCATAGACTAGCCACATGAAAACAATATGATATTACAGACTAGCCACATGAAACCAATATGATATCACAGACTAGCCACATGAAAACAATATGATATTACACACTAGCCACATGAAAACAATATGATATTACACACTAGCCACATGAAAACAATATGATATTACAGACTAGCCACATGAAAACAACATGATATCATAGACTAGCCACATGGTTTTTCATGTGGCTAATCTATGATATCATGTTGTTTTCATGTGGCTAGTCAGCACTTTATAATTAAGGTTTGTATGATGAAACGAAACTAAAACAAATGTGTAGTTCTTTAAATTTAATGTAGAATTATCAAATATGAGGAACATGAAACACATGTCACTATTATTCTGACGATAGTGTTTTATGAAAATTTACTGATCCTGAAGTGAATGTTTAAAGTTCTTAACCCTAAGGAAGAGTTGGACACTAAATGTATCATTAACCTTTATGCAGCTATACACTGAATATATTCTTAACCCTGATGAAGAGTTATACACTAAATGGGTATTTAGCCTTAAGACAGTATTGTACTCTGAAAGAATACTTAACCCTAAAACAGAATTGTGTTCTATACACATATTCAATTATAACACAGAGTTGTATTGTATATGTGTATCTGACCGTAATATTACGTTACCCGTGCTTTAACTTTTGTTAATCATTATTTCCGGTCGCAAAGAAAATTATAGAGCTCATATTATTAAACTTGTTAATTATTAAAGATCTTTCATGGCCAAAAACATAAAAAAGAAATTTGCCTTTTTCAAGTTTCGGAAGCCTTGCACTTAAACTAGGTTACCTTGACATTATTGTAAGTTAGTTTAAACCAACTCCGCTCTATTTACAAGTACATTGTCTATAGATCTAGCCCTATTATTATGTACAATCTGACCAGATTTGTATCTGTTTATGTTTCCCTTTTCTCTAGATCTGACTGTTTTACGTCATGGAGAAACATCTCCATTTAAACTGATTATTAGTCTATGAACTGTATTTTATCTAACAGGTTAAGCAACTTTACACTGTTAAATTTGTTCAAAACTAGGTTTCAGAATCGTAAAATTGAATCGCCCTCACTGAAACGTCTTCATTTTGATTCTGTTTTTTGTAATTACAAGTTTCTTGGCCAGAAATTAAAGTTTTTATCCTGAATAACTACAATTCACGCAAATAAATTGTTAAATCAAGCCATTTTTACCTTCTTGTTTTCTCTGTTCTTGACCCTAATTTGTGTATTGTCAAGTCCGCTAGGAGGTGTATCCCCACCACTATGATCGTCCTACTCGACTGATACCTCTGTAACTTCAGTACATTCTACTTTATATCCTAGTTTTATTTCCCATTTGTGTTCAAAGCTTCTTGTTTTCGGCCTTCTTGCCTGACAATGCTGTTCTTACGTTGAAATGTAAATCAGGTTGACCTTTTTGCTGACCGTTGTAAAGAAAATACGTCCAGAAACAATCCACCATTTACTGTATTATAATCAGTGTGGACATGATAATAACCCCAGAGTACCATACTATACATAAGACCAGCCCTTCTTCAGATCTATATAAGACAAACCTTACTTCAGGTCACAATAGGACCAACCCTTCTTCAGGTCCAAATAAGACCAGCCCTTCTTCAGATCTCAATAAGACAAACCTTACTTCAGGTCCCAATAGGACCAACCCTTCTTCAGGTCCAAATAAGACCAGCCCTTCTTCAGATCTTAATAAGACAAACCTTACTTCAGGTCTCAATAGGACCAACCCTTCTTCAGGTCCCAATAAGACCAGCCCTTCTTCAGATCTCAATAAGACAAACCTTACTTCAGGTCGCAATAGGACCAACCCTTCTTCAGGTCCCAATAAGACCAGCCCTTCTTCAGATCTCAATAAGACAAACCTTACTTCAGGTGACAATAGGACCAACCTTTCTTCAGGTCCAAATAAGACCAGCCCTTCTTCAGATCTCAATAAGACCAGCCCTTCTTCAGATCTCAATAAGACCAACCCTTCTTCAGGTCCCAATAAGACCAATCCTTCTTCAGGTCCCAATAAGACAAACCCTTCTTCAGATCTCAATAAGACAAACCTTACTTCAGATCTCAATAAGACAAACCTTACTTCAGGTCACAATAAGACAAACCTTACTTCAGGTCACAATAGGACCAACCTTACTTCAGGTTTCGAAAAGACCAACCCATCTTCAGGCCCTAATTTGTCCAGCTTATGATTTTTAAATAAATTGTGAATTACTCAAATCTTAAGAGTGGTCATGCTATACTAAAATGGTTGAAGTGTACTTAGTACGTGGTGTTATAATTTCAATATCTGTGTTCCAACTCCCTTTTTGTTGTATCTATTCTTTACGTTTATACCATTGTTAAGTTGATTACAAGTGATATAGTTGAAGATGGTTATTAGATTCTATTGTTACAGTATCTATTCTTTAAGATTATACCATTGTTAAGTTGATTACAAGTGATATAGTTGAAGATGGTTTTAGATTCTATTGTTACGGTATCTATTCTTTAAGATTATACCCTTGTTAAGTTGATTACAAGTGATATAGTTGAAGATGGTTTTTAGATTCTATTGTTACAGTATCTATTCTTTAAGATTATACCATTGTTAAGTTGATTACAAGTGATATAGTTGAAGATGGTTTTTAGATTCTATTGTTACAGTATCTATTCTTTAAGATTATACCACTGTTAAGTTGACTACAAGTGATATATTGAAGATGGTTTTTAGATTTTATTGTTACAGTATCTATTCTTTAAGATTATACCATTGTTAAGTTGATTACAAGTGATATAGTTGAAGATGGTTTTTAGATTCTATTGTTACGGTATTTATTCTTTAAGATTATACCATTGTTAAGTTGACTACAAGTGATATAGTTGAAGATGGTTTTAGATTCTATTGTTACGGTATCTATTCTTTGAGATTATACCATTGTTAAGTTGACTACAAGTGATATAGTTGAAGATGGTTTTTAGATTCTATTGTTACAGTATCTATTCTTTAAGATTATACCATTGTTAAGTTGATAACAAGTGATATAGTTGAAGATGGTTTTTAGATTCTATTGTTACAGTATCTATTCTTTAAGATTATACCATTGTTAAGTTGATTACATCTGATATAATTGAAGATGGTTGTTCAAAGTAACAAACAAGAATAACGTTGTTAACCTATCTTATAATGAAATACGAAACCATATAACCAGAGACCTTTCTTCATGTGATTTTGGAAAGACCCGTATCATGTGGTCTTGTAGGTTTGTGTGTGTGTGTGGAGGAGATTTTATGTGTTGGAGATTACTATGCGAGTTATTGTCGTTCTTATTTCTTTATTGAGCATAACGAAATGATTAGTTTCGAGCTTGAAGATATAATCTACTTGAAAGAATCAACCCTGTTATCACCACAAAACGTTATTTTATTATAGCACTAACGTGGAAGTCTGAAGTGACACAGCACAGAGAGCCCACCTTCGTTCATTTCATGATGAAATCTGAGAATATTTCCATATTTGTTGCTCAACTGGACCGGTCAGTATTTGAGTTGAAGTTTTTATGAAATTGCAGCTGCGTGGAATATTGAAGTGGACCATCTTCTGAGTTGAGGTCATCACCAGATGGAAATAATAAAGGCCTCAGCTCCAAAGCCGAAAAGTCGTCCACTCCTAGATTCCAGGCAGGTGATGTTTAATTATATAAAATAATTAAGATTTTATTCACCCTTTTCATGATCCTCTTAGAAATAAGCATTTTAAGGAACATTATTATTTTCCATTCAGAATAGTTTGTTCTTTTTTTTAGTTTATTCTCATATGTTGTGAGTTAATTGCCATTATGAAAGAGAAAAAAATATATTATTTTACACAGAAGCTACTTTCTCTTTTGGTTGCTTAATTTGAAGCACATTAAAACCCAATTAACTCGTTACAATAGATGCGCACAGTCAAGAAAGGCTAGAAACGTTTTTCTCATTAAGAACACCTCGGGAAGTGGGTGAAACAAGTTATTGGTAACGTTAACAGACACGGTTCGTTTTTTTAACTAGAACAGTAAGACCCTGCTCTTGGCCATGCCTGGTTTAGATCCTAAAGCTTAAACACCAGTTTGTACTTTGAAGGCGTCAAAAATGATAATAACAACCCCACCTTGTGGTTGTTAATAATAAGAAAATTATTTTTATATTTAATTTTTAACATAGTCAAGTTTTTATAAATGAAATACTGTTTTTGTGTCTTGTTATTTTTCTACATTTAGGTTCTTGAAAGTATAATATTCGTAACTGATTAATGTCTATTTCTGTAGAAAAAAACGTTAAAGATTCCCCGTATTCATTTAAGGATTTTAAATTCGTTCATCTGATTGTTAATCAATAAATAATTAATACACGTGTTTATATGAAACATAACTAGATCTGAAAAAAATTAAAACAAAAGCTATGAGATACTCGTGATTTGTAACCAAACAATAACGTATTTTTCTATTATATCAGACTAT